AAAAAAAAAAAGTATGTCTCCTTTCTGAAATGTGTAACAGTCACAGGCTCATGAAGTGATGAGGTGATGTTTTTGAGAGAGGGTGGTACTTAGGGGAGTCATAACACCTGGAGAATTCTGCAAACACTACCACTGTAGAAACCCAAAGCTCCCCCTGCCCACCGAGCTGCACCCTAGTCATTGCACGGTGCTTAGGGTATTTTGGGTGAATGAGTAAGAAATGGGCTCCATTCTTGTGGCCAGCTGCGGCTGTAGCACATCTGGGATCCTTGTTCACCTTAGAGTTTCCTCTAATTTCTAACCCAGAAGTGAACTTCCTCCTCGGTTAGCCTAGTGCATAGCCAACTGCATTGCATTTGTGATTCCAGGCACAGAAGGATCTGAAGAAGGACCGTCCCCTTGTGCGCCGCAAGTCCGAGCTGCCTCAGGACCCCCACACCGAGAAAGCCTTGGAAGCTCACTGCAGAGCCAGTGAGCTACTCTCCCAGGACGGGCGCTAGCGTCTGGAGCAGCACGCCGAGCTGGGCCTGTCAGTTCTCTTCTGGATGCTGTAGAAAAGACATACTGTTTGTGCCATACCAGTCAGTTACACTCAAAAGTCAAAGCTTCCTCTGACCCCGTTCTGTAGGCGATAACGCACGCCTGCCTCCACTCGAGACCAGGAGTTCAAACAATGGTGGCTTCTCTGGCCCTGCTGGCCAAGCAGGGGGCTGGGGGAGTTGGTGACAGCGTCATCACCATGTTGTCACCACCCCAGCACAGCCCTGAGTGAGATCCAAAGTCAGAGCTGTAGGAAAGCACCCTGGCTGTCATCTTGTGGCCAGTGGCCCCTGTGCTCCTCTGAAATAGGTCTTCTGTGGGAGTACTGATGACGTTTCAAATCAAAGGCACATGGCAAAAGGTATCTCCTCCTTTTTAAGACTTTACAACCCTTGACGTTGCTCCCATGCTTGCTGTGCCAGCAGCAGCAGTTGTTGTTGGGTAGGTCTCACAGAGATGGCTCTTCGCTTTCACATTCTAGCTGTCTGCCAGGGAAGAGGCCAGCCATCCTCAGCGCTGGGACCGTGCAAAGGTCTTTCTTTCCTTTGATTAATGGCACGCTCACCATGTCCCTCTTCCCTTAATGTCTACGGAAAGCCATATTTTATAGTCTGTGGTAGAGGCCAGGGTTCCACCTAAGCACAAGGGAGAGAGCTCTGAATCGTACTTCCTCAGTCCACCTTGAGGAGAACCGCAATGTTGAAATTATGTGTTCATATTTTTATTTGCAGAATCAGTCTTTTCACCTACTTACACATGATCCTTCAACAAGGCTCTTGAATTGATAAAGATTACAGGATCTAAGATTTCCACATTTGTAGAAAGTTACAGTAAATTAACCCACTTGGCCTACTGCAAACTGCAGCCTGCCTGTGGCCGTACTGCAGGTCGCGCTGTGTGGGGCGCCCTCAGTGAGCCTTTCTGTTGGAAAAAGCACATGCTACCAAGCTCGCAAGGAATAGTGCAGTGTCTCCGTTTCCACTGGCCTTCACATGCTGCTACAGGCTTCACAGAATTCTTGCATGGATTAAGCTTCTGTTTTAGATGGAATAGCACGAGGAGAAAAAAATCCTTAAACTTAGTGCTTTGTCTAGTCTTTGTTTTCTCTCAGGGTGGCCAGTATTTTGACTTATTTATCCTGCTTGAAAGCTGCTTGAGATGTGTACTGCTATTCTGAACAGTGACAAGTTTCTTTTGTCTCCAGCATATCTATATCTTAGTGTTACATGTCTTGATGCGTAAGATACGGTAAAAATGTGGCTTCTTTTAAAACCTGATTTTTTTTTTTTTTAATCGTGCTCTCGGGTATCCATGAAAAGTTGTGAAATCAGACATTGCTCTCGTGTGGCCATGGAGGCTGCTTCTGGGTCCCCTTAGACGGCTGCTGATGCTCATGCAACATGGCCGGGAAGAAGGACATGTGCAGGGAGGAGAGCCGCCAGCGTGGCTAACCAGAAGGGCGGCCCCAGCTGAGGGTGGACAGGTTGGCCGCTTGGGTGAGAACACTTCCTGAGAAACTTGACGAGTATCTATCCACTTTACCATTATGAAATCTATAATTTAAAAAAAAAAGTTGAGATGCCTTCTCCTTCTGAGGGAAAAAGGGTGCTTTTATTGTATAAAGCAGCGTCTCTGTGTTTTGATACCCCACTGTTTGAACTCTCGTCTTTAGCTGGTAGAGTCTCAGATATCCCTGACGTGGGGCATTCTGTGTGTGGTGAGAGGTCCCGAGAGGCTCCTTTGCCCTGCGTGAAAAAGCAAGCTATCAGTGTACGGGTGATTGTGCAAAACTCAGCACGGCAGAACATCTTCTGGTCTAGGTTTTATTTCTGCTCTTTATTGAAGACAAACATTCGCCAATAAAGAAAAGAAAAAAATGTTTTGAGATAAACTAATTTTCTTTGACAAGAGTATTACTTAATTTTTTGGCCTATTAAGGTTCTCCTAGTTAGTACTCGGATTACCTGTGCTAATTGTTCAACTTGTATATTGTTAAGACACACTGTTGATTCTGACTGTTTTTCTTCCCATGGCTCTAGTTTGGCACCTTCAGTCTTTCCACAGTGTGTCTGTGTGCCAGAGATGTCACAGTTCAAGTGTCTTTCCAGTGTGGCTCTGTATGGCTTCCTTTGAACATTGTACATACATTGTATCTTTGTTTTATGGTAATAAGTAATAAAAAATGTAGACTTCGTATTTTGTACAAAATGTCCTATGTACAGAATAAAAAAAAGTTCATAGAAACAGCAAAAATAGGTTAAGTGGCACAGTTATTTTTCTTTAGAAAATATCTGTAACTTTATGCTTTAGTGAAATGTTAAGTACCAACATATTTTTTAACATTTTGTAATTCAAAACTTTTTTTGTTTTGACATTGTTTATGAAGAAAGACTTCATGCACTTGCCATTTAATATGCTCTTTTATCTAATTTTAAAGATCTCTTTAAAATGGTGTATTATACAGACTAAATAAAGAACATGTTAATTGTATCGCTCATCATGAAACTAAATTTAGCCATGGCGTGGGGCAGTCTGGTTCCGACACACAGTTACTGTCAGTTCAGGGACCAGCCACTCCAGGGACACTGGCTTGAGGTGGGAAGCAGGTGTCAGCCCTGTGTTCCCCTAATGAGTGTCAGCAGTCCTTAGAAGCTGATACCAAAAGCCACCGTACTCCCTCGTTGGGTTGAAAAGGCAGATGCCAGCCTGGCAGTGGTGGCGCACGCCTTTAGTTCCAGCACTTGGGACACTTGGGAAGCAGAGACAGGCAGATTTCTGAGTTCGAGGCCAGCCTGGTCTACAGAGTGAGTTCCAGGACAGCCAGGGCTACACAGAGAAACCCTGTCTTGAAAAACCAAAAAAAAAAAAAAAGAAAGAAAAAGAAAAGAAAGAAAAGGCAGATGCCAGGTGTGGAAATGCACACTTTTGATCTCAGAACTCAGGAGGCAGAAGCAGGTAGATCTCTGCGAGTTCATGGCAAATCTGGTCTACAGAGCGAGCTCCAGGACAGCCAGGGCTATAGAGAGAGACCCTGTCTCAAAAAAGAGAGAGAAGGAAAAGGGAAAGCAGCTTTTGGCGCACAGCGCCTGCTTTTCGTAGAGGCAGAGTGGATACAAAGCCAATGATCAGAAATCTCAGTGCTCAACTGAGGGAACAGAGTAGATAGACATGCTGGGAGGTGGGCTGAGCTGAGGTCCTTGCTGGCCGGTCACTCACATTGTTCTGGAAGCCTGACAGAAGATCCTCGCTGAAGCTGTACTTGATCTGTGTTTCTGCAGTCAGGGGAGGGTACCCTCTGCGTCAGTGCCCTTGACCCTATCACATCTCCATCCCTTCTGGTCGGAGCTCTGCAGTGGAAGCCTTGGAGCTTCCCGAGGGCCTTGGGTCCGAGTCTGAGACTTGCTGGTTACCCCTACCAGAAGCCGTTAGAAGACATCAGGTCTAGGGTAGTAACTAGGATGATCTCTTCCTCAGGTTAGGTGGAAACTCTCTAAGATACCTCAGTCTCGCCTCTTGAAACTTGAGGACAGCATGTTTGATAACACCCCACAGCACAGGAATTCTCTTCCAGAAGTGTGCTGTGATTGACGGCCATTAGAGCCACTGGCACCACTACAATGCTTCCAGAAGCTCTGCATCTCCATCCCTGAGAACTGGTGTCACCAAGCCAGCAGTGGTGGCCAAGAGTACTCAACACCACCTTCAAGTGCGGGCGCCACAAGGATGGCAAGCTGTGGAAACTCCCACTAAACTGTGGGTTGGTATGTGAACACTCTGGGCAGAGGGTAGGGAGGTAATGAACTCTCAGTGAGGATCCCGGAGGGGTGTGGGCACAGGAGGGCAGAACAGACTCAGCGCCTCACACATTTGTTCTTGCCTCACAGTGCTTCAGGGATGTTGTTGTTGTGTAAACTTTAGCAAAGTCTTCAAGCATGCTGTCCCAAACCTCAGCCTCTGCAAACCAACACAGGAGCCTCCGTTCTCATTGGCTTTGTGTTGCTAACACGGAACATAAAAATCACCAGAAAGTCCACTCACAGCTAAATGTATGTTATAGATGATTCGGTTGGGGAGGAGTGGGTTCCAATACCAGAAATCTGAAGTCCACTCTTAAGTTAATATGGGCATCTTTGGGGCAGTGGGGGACGGGTTGTTTGTTTGGGGGTTTGGTTTAAGAAGAAAGCAGTGTAAGCAGAGGTTGGCCTACACCCATAGAAGCTATATATCCTTCCCTGACTCAGCCTACCGTCTCCTTCATGTCTTTTTACAAACCACAGCATTATGTTTTTATGGGTTTGGTTTTGTTTTTGAGACAGGGTCTTGGTCTGTAGCTTAGGCTGTTGTGAACTCACTACATAGCCCAGGCTAGCTTCAAACATACAACAGACCTCTTGCCTTAGCCTCCTGAGTTAACATGTCCAGTTTAATAAAACATGAGTTCTGAAGAACTTTGTGAATGGCGGTAGGTTGAAGACCAGGATTTGCTGGGCATTGTAGCCCATACTTGGAATTTTGACACATGGGAGGCTGAGGCAAGGAGGGTCAGAACTTCAAGGCCAGACTGGGCTATGTGAGACTGTCTCAAAATAAAAAATAAAACTTAGAATACATCTTTTTCTCTCCCTAATGTCTTCCTGGTCATATCCGGTTCAAGGCCAAATCAGTCTGTGTTATGCTTGTGAGAAACTTACCACAAACAAGCTGAGCTGGCTAGCTTCCCAATGTGTAATTTTAGAAACTGATATCTAACAAACCAGTTATTAGACCAAAGGGTCCTGACCCATCTTCTCAATTCTGTAATAAAAGCACATGGGAACAGAGGTTTCTGCTATTCCTTCAGACAATGTGATGGGAGAAAAAAAAAAAAGTGTAAAGGCACAAGGAACCCAGGAGCCAGGCAGAGGACCAGGGGAGCCTGGGAACTCTGCCCCTTCCACTGGGAACAGCTCCCGGTACGTCAGTGGTTCTCAACCTTCCCAATGCTCTGACCCTTTAATATGGCTCCTCATGTTCTGGTAACCCTCAACCATAAAATTACGTTCATTGCTACTTCATAACTGAAATTTTGCTACTGTTGTGAATTATTAAGGTATGTGTTTTTCAATAGCTTAGGCAACCCCTGTCATTCAACCCCCAAAGAGGTCACAATCCACAGGTTGAGAACTGTCACTATGCTGCGTGGAAGCACACTCCCAACCTTGACATTACTAACGCCTCTTCATATTCTGTCTTCAGAATGGATCTGGTAGGAAGATGTATCCCTTAAACTAATGATGACTTCAGAGGCATTGTGAAGCCAGTAGGGCCAGCACTGATTCCCCTGCTCAGACATTCTGATATAATTCCCTTCAAGAGCCCGAACTTCCACCCTGGTTGGGAGACTTGAGCCAAAGCTCCCACTCCAACAAGGATAAATGGACTCCCGTTAAGCTGTCTCCAACATGGCTGGAATGAGAACGTTTAAAAGCTTGTGACGCCACTAAGCACTGCCCAGGGGACACCGCCAGGGCAGACTGTCCGTCTTCTAAGCAGGAAATGAGACTGAGACCCAAGCCTCCTGAAAATCAAAATGTTGACACCACACAGCCCACAAAGTCACGGGTGACTCTGAAGCCATGTGAAGCTGCTGCTGCTGCTGCTGCTGCTGCTGCTGCTGCTGCTCCTCCTCCTCCTCCTCCTGCTGCTCCTCCTCCTCCTGCTGCTCCTCCTCCTGCTGCTCCTCCTCCTCCTGCTGCTCCTCCTCCTGCTGCTCCTCCTCCTGCTGCTGCTCCTCCTCCTGCTGCTCCTCCTCCTCCTGCTCCTCCTCCTCCCACTGCTCCTCCTGCTCCTGATACTGCACTGGAGCAAGGAGTAGTTCGTACAGTAAGTGTTGGGGATGGGGGAGCAAGTTAAGCAAGGATTAACTATATATACTTTGGGCTGGCCTCGAATTCACAGGTATCCTCCTGCTTCTGCCTCCCAAGTGCTGGGATTAAAACTCTGTGCCACCACACCAGGCAATAAACAGAAGGTGCTATTACTGAGTGATTTCAGTGCCATCAAATTCCAGGCGATTCCTTGGTGAATGCATTTGCTAGGAAACTGTAAGCTTCCTCCTTTCATCACGGGTTTGAGGAAACAGATAAAGGCCTGCTGTGTAAGCTCGTCACCAAGGCCCCGCTCCTGTAAGAGCACACCAGCTGAGTGTAGTGAACCTACGTTCACTAGCACCCTCCTGATCTGCAACCCAGGGCTTTGGGAGTCGGGCTAGAAAGACCTGCATGTTCTGGAAGTCCCCGCGCACGCTTAGGCATAAGATGCTCCTAGAAAGCCTTAGCAAGATGAGGCAATTGGATAGTATCTGTATTGGGGTTTAGGACAGCAGCTGAGGAGACACGGTACAGTCAACAGGCAGATGCCCAGGCCTGAGGAAGTGGGTTTGGCTCATAGTTGTCAGCTGCCTTCTGCTCACGTCTAGCCTTCAGTGCTGGCTTTGCCTGGCAGTGGTGTGAGGAGGCTCGTTTGTGTCTTGAGGGTTATCTGCACATACAGTCTGGTCTTAGCATCCATCCCTTCCAGGAGTAGAGCTGACACTAACCACCACCACCCCGCCATCTCACCACTGCCACCCAGACCATATTATCAGCATGGTATACCCATCACGGCCCCGGTCCCCAAAAGAACCAAAACATTCTTATCAGGAAGGATAATCATGGCAAAGCTGCTACCTTTGAGAGCTGGAGACAAAGGCCAGTCAGTCCCCTGTGGGGGAAAGTTAACCACCTCCAAGCAGCTCGCCTCACAAGGTAATAGAGTACAGAGAGGTCTGTGAGCTTGGCCTACGACAGTGACAGACAAAGCAGTGCGCGGGACTCCTCATCCATGTACACGGGGCTCTTCTCATCATGCCGCCCCAGGCAAACAAGAAGGGTCCAGAGCCTGTGGTCAGCTTTGCAGCCTATCTGAGAACATGGAAACCTCTGGAAATGAAACTGAAGAGCCGGCCAGGCAGTGGTGGCAGTGCATGCCTTTAATCCCAGCACTTGGGAGGCAGAGTCAGGTGGATTTCTGAGTTTGAGGCCAGCCTGGTCTACAGAGTGAGTTCCAGGACAGCCAGGGCTATAGAGAGAAACCCTGTCTCAAAAAACAAAACAAACAAACAAAAAAAACAAAACAAAAAAGGAAACTTAAGAGCCCACTGAGGAGAGGGGAAAGGCACAGTCTGAGGCAGCGCTGTCCAGGAGACAGGCACCTGACTGGGTAGATGTGCTTGT